CGCAGACCTTGTGATGCTTCATATTTAAATATTTCAGCATGCATCTTTTGAGAAAAAGGACATTTTCCTACATAACTACACTATCATTATCCCATCTAAGAAAATTAACATTAATTCAGTAATATCATCTAGTATACAATCCATGTTCACACTTCCCCCAAAATGTCTTTTGTAGTAATTTTGTTTTCTGATCGGGGATTTAATCACGTTTCCTGCCTGGCATTTGGTTGTTACATCCCTTTAGCCTCTTTGAATTTGGGATGGTCCTCTTGCCTTTGGCTCTTGTTTTCCACGGCACTGAATTTTTAAGAGAGCCCAGGCCAGTTGCTTTGTAGAATATCCGACTCTGTGAATGTGTCTGATGGTTTCCTAGTGCTTAGATTGGAGTTAAGCATGTCTGGCTAGAGTACTTCCCCGGTGATGTTGCGTACCCACCATTGTCTCACGTCAGGAGGTGCAGAATGGCTGGGGGTCACACTGTTGGTCACTTGGTTACAGTGACGATCACCAGCTCTCTCCATTATGAAGAGAAGCTTTTCTCTTAGCTATCTGTGGGATGATACTTGTAGATCTGTCCGCTTGAGATGGTCATCTCTGAGAACAAAAGATGGGGGAGAGAAAAGCAGAAGAGGATGAGAAAGGACAGGACAGTGGAAGAAAGCCAAAGGAAGAAAAGGGAAGGCATAAGAGGGGCAATTGGAACAGTGTCATCATCTATTAAACAGATTAAAGGATTGAAAACAAAACTATATGTCACATTTAAAATTACATACAGACAGTCCCCAATTTACGATGGTTCAACTTATGATTTTTTGACTTTTTGATGGTGGGAAAGCAATATACATTCAGTAGAAACTGGGCTGGCGATATGCAGTATGATCTTCTCTCATGATGCTGGTCAGTGGCCACAAGCCACAGCTCCCAGTCAACCACATGATCATGAACAAGGGTGAACAGCTGATACACTTACAACCATCCTGGACCCACGCAGCCATTCTGTTTGTCACTTTCAGTGCAGTATTCAATCAATTACATGAGATATCTAACATTTCATTATAAAATACACTCTGTGTTAGTGGATTTTGCCCACCTGTAGGCTAATGTAAGTGTCCTGAGCACGTTTAAGGTAGGCTAGGCTAAGCTATGATGTTTGGTAGGTTAGGAGTATTAAATGCATTTTTGACTTGTGCTACTTTCAATTTACCATGGGTTTATCCAGATGTAAGCCCATCATAAGTTGAGGAAGCTCTGTGTAAAGCTTCCCCTAAACCGTGTGGGGAAAAAAGAAATGGGGAGCTGGGGAGATGTGATCAAAGAGTTGTGAGCAGACTTAGGTTGCTTCCCTTCTTCTTTTGGACACTGACCCTGATTTTGGTTCAGTGACAATAAAATAAACTCCAACAGTAATCACTGAATCACATGGTTGACATTCCCACCTAGTAAATTTTCCTAGTGCTTAATTATGCCTTTATTTTAGATGTGTCTCTTTATTTTAATTAGATCCAATCACATGTAATTGCATATTATTAGTTCATTTCACTATGGCTACGAGCAGAAAAGCACTTTGCCAAAAACAGCGTGCTGACTTTCCTAATATTCTCTTTATCCCTCTTTCCAGGGTCTGGTGTGTACAGGAGAAGTTGAGTTCACGCACGTATGTTTCCCACTGTCAACTGTGTCCCTGTGGCATACATTCTTTGACACTGCTCCTATTGAGAGATGGGATCTACGTCCTCTCCCCTTGAAACTGAGTGGGTTTTTGAGACTGTTTATGATCAATAGAGTGCACTGCAAGTGACATTATGGGGCATCTGAGGTTAGGTCCTAAAAGTTGATACAGTGTCTGCTTTGCTCTTGACTCCTCATTCTTGACGCCTTTGGCTGCCATGTATGTAGCCCACCTGCCCTGAGTCCACTGTACTAGCAGGAATACCAAGTTACTCGCAAGGAGACCACAGGGAGAGACCCTAAGACTTCAGAAAGAGATGCCCGACCACCCCACAGCTGCTTCAGCTTCTCCCCTCCCACCATGCCATATGTAGCTACCAACTGCTGGGGTCGTTTTAAGCAATTATGTTTGGACTGATTTATTTTAGGTGTAGTAGCAACAGTCCCTCTTCCTTCCAGTTTGCCACTTTCCTCTAAAGTAGTAGGTTCCTGTTCTTCTGATTGGTTTCAAGAAATGAAGCAGCTCAGTGATTAAGACACGGGAATCAGACACATGGAATGTGGCTATTAGAATGAAATATCTGAACACAGACCCATTGATCATATCATGGTCACTAAAGCTTTCCTTTTGCTGCTGTGTGCACCGAGAACTTAGTCCTCCTTTGCTTAGTTAAGAATGGCTGTCTTCTCCCAACACCAACAGTTCAGAACCTTAACAGAAAAAAGCAGTGCAAAGTAAGTCTAATTTAAATTAGTAGTGTGATGGCAAGGGCCTAGGTTTTGGACTCGGAAGTGTTGCCTTTGGGTTTCTGCCTCACTGCTTGGTTTTGTCATTGAAAAGACACCAGCATCCCTTTGAGCCTCAGTTCTTCCACTCTGAGTTGGAAGAATACCTCTCCTATCTACTTCACCAGGTCATTGAGAGAGCTATATGTGATAGTATATTTGAAAACATTTTGTGAATTGTAAAACAATGACCAAATGTAAGAGAGTAGCAATGTCATCATCACTAAGAAGTTATTCACCTGCTTTAATTTCCTCATCTTTAAGGTGGGTACAATATAACACCACCTTCCTCCTACTCTCATCAAAATGCTGCTATAAACATCTGCAATAACATTTAAAGTCACTCAGATTGGAGTAGGGGGAGTACAGGCCAGGACAGAATACGTTAAGTAACAGAGACTCTATTCAACAAATATACATAGTGGCCACTAGGTGGAGGCACTAAACTAGATGCCGGGCACACTGCAATAAAGAAATAGTCCTTGCTCTCAAGGAGCTTGCTGTCTAGTGGAATGTTATGGACACAGAAGGAGTCTATTTCAATACAGTTTACTAAGAGGTGAAATCAGAGAGAGTAACCAAGGTGGGCTCAGGTCTCCTGGGTGGCACTGCAGCATGGTAGTGAAGAGCACAGAGTCTGCACCCGATTGCATGGTTCTGAATCCTGATTTCATCACTTATTGCTGTCTGACCGTGGAAAAGTTATTAAGATATGGCTCAGTTTCCTCATCAGTAAAAGGAGAATAATAACTAACGTTAGAGAATTGTGGAAGGACTATACATGAGTCAGTACAGGTAAAGCATTTAGCACGATGTATGGAACACACAGTAAACACTCAAAAATGTGAACTATTATTATTATTACGTGGTGCTCTGGAGCCTATGTAATGGGGAGCCCACAGTTTTTTTCTGTTGTTGTTGAGGAAGATGCACTCTGAGCTAACATCCACTGCCAATCTTCCTCTTTTTGTAAGCTGCCACCACAGCATGGCCACTGACAGATGAGTGCTGTAGGTCCGTGCCTGGTAACCAGACCTGGACCGCCAAAATGTAGTGTGCCAACCTTAACCACTAGGCTGCAAGGGCTGGCCTGAGCCCATACTTTCAAGGGTAAATCAAGGAAGGCTTCCCAGAGGCACTGACATCTGAGATATCTGAGATGAGATCTGAAGGATGACGGGAATTAGCAGGTCAAGGGACAAGGTATTGGGAGTGAAGTGAGAACATACCAGGCAGAAAGAACACCTAGATTATTTAAAACAGTGCTTTCTCAGACTTTTAGGAGCATAAAAATCACCTAAGAATCTTGTTAAGGGGCAGATTCTGATTCAGTAGCTCTGGAGTGGAACATTTCTAACAAAGTTCCCATGGAATGCTCATGATGCTGGTTCCCTCTTCTACACTTCCACTCGGTAAAAATGTTCTAACGGGGTGCAAAACCTCAAGAGGAAACTGTGAACTATTTAAGGATAGCTGGCATGAAAATTGCAAGGAATGGGGTTTGTGGGCTGTTGTGCTGGCTAGAGAGGGAATAGGAGATAGATCTGCAATGCTCATCACTGCTTAAGGGGCTAAATCACAAAGGGACTTACAAGTTAAGAAAAGAAGAAATTTGGAACAGCAAAGAGGGCTTTAGCTGCCAAAGGGAAAAATAGGTTGGAATGGGGAACCCCACTAAAAGAAAGGAGACCCACTGAGAGTCTTTTCCTGTTAAGTAACTATACGAGAAACGATGGTGGCCTGAACTATGGCAGTGGCCTTGGGGATGGAGAGACATGCTTGAATTCAAGAGCTGTTAGAAGATACAATCAACAATTTGGTGACTGATTTGCTTGGGGGATGAAAGAGATGGAGAACACAAGAAAGGCATGGCATGAGGTTATCGGGTTCCTTTCAGCTGCCTACAGTCAACACATAATTACAAAGCGCGTGGAGAATAGCTGTTCCTCAGTGGCACATAGGCAGCATCTTCTCCATTTTAGATGCTCCTTCTACTTTTGGGAATTGTTGACCTGCTTTCTTCAAACTTCCTTCAACCTGCCTCAATTTCTACTAACTACTGAAGGCCTGGTAGAGAAACACAAAACTAGGAAAGTAAATCTGTACTTTAAAATTTAGCACTTACTCTCTTATTTTGTTCATTAGTTGTGTGGGGTGCATTGGCCTTCCCAAATTATCTGTTGCTCTTTGAGGCCAAGGACCGTGTCAGATCTATTGTTTCCATTCCCCATGGTGCTGATGACCAAGGAGGCACTTAACACACGTTAGCTATTTGATAGAATAACATCTAGATGATTACATATCAATGCCATTTATCATCTCACAAAAGATGATAAAAATAACATCTGTAAGGTATTGAGTTTTACACGCATTATAAATGCCATCATCTTCTTTCGTTTATCAGAATCCTCTGAGACCTTTATATCCAGGTAGTTTGGATAATGACTACAGCTTCATTGAATTATTTTAATAGAATGGAAGCCTACTTCATTACATTGAACTCTACTGCCACCTACTGTTCATGTAGTAAGTTAACATATTGTGGTCCCCACTCCATTCTTCACTATCGAATGCTTTCTTCATATCTCAATGGCTTTCTATGCTTTGAGCTTCATCCTAGAGTAGATGTAATTTTCTAAAAGTTTACGGTGTTTCGTTGTAACAACCCAACATGATACTGACAATTTTCTCCCTGGGCAAAAAGTTTATGCCTTTATGGAACATTAAACATTTTTAAATTTAATGATACAATGGTCCTTTCATAGGCTTTTTTTCTTTTTTTGGGAAAACTAAAAGAGAAAAGTCATGAAATTCCTGAAGAATTTTTCCCTAGCTCCAGTAGATATCGTTAAACTGGACATCTATTTTGGATATACTCCATTCAGGGTGTAAATCTCACTTATCCTTCCATGACATTCTTTGTAAAACCGTCCCTGATTCTTCATTCTGGAAGTAAATTCTCCCTTCCACAATTGGTAATTGTTATAATGAACCACATAGTGGAAGGACAACAAAAATTCCAATTAAAAAAACAGCTTTATAAATTGTTTCCCTTCATTCTCCCTTCTCTGTTGGTTACCGTCTTTCTTTTGCAGATAAATAAAACGGAACCCTCGGCTGTAACAATCTTATAAAGTCTTTTGTTTTAAGAAGGGAACATTTTAGGAAGGGCAAGGATAGAAGCAGGGACTCGTGTTGAGTGATGATGAGACTTGAGGCAAGTTATTTTGTCTTTGATTGCTGTTCATAGATACTAGATGGTGAGGATTTCAAAGGTTAGTGAAGTGACAGTGGACCGGGACTAAATTTACATCTTTTCCCTCTAATTCCCTATTTTAGAATGAAAATGTCAGTTTAAAAGGGGAGGAAGGCACCAAGCGAGGAGCAATTATTTGAGCAAATTTCTGGCATAACCTAGGTGTCTAGGTAGTCCAGTTGGATTGTCTTTAACGAGGAGGCTGAGCGGTGGGGACCGGCACCCCCGTGTCTTGGGTTTCCTGGACCTGGAGTGAAGTCCGGGCTCTGCTCCAGGTGAACCGCGTCCGCCACTCCCTGGATCTTCCCCACCTCCTCTTCTGTGCACCGTCTGTATCCACCCAGGTGCCTCTCTCAGGGGTTGGATGTGTCCCCTCTCCTGGTCACGGTCACCGCCCCGGCGGCGGCACCCGGCCTGTGACCCCCTCCACCTGGCGGCCCTGGAGTCACAATCACTTATTCGATCCCGCTTGTGCCATCTCTTCACCGCGAATGGGTGAAAATGGCTACAATTTACGGCAGCCCCGCCCTCGGAAGAGCTGTTGGAGGGACTCCTGCTCAAGCAGAGGAAGACAGGTCAGGGACCTCTTGTCGTCGTCCCATCCTCCCCGGCCTCTTGTGACACGAAATGGTGTTTGGAGGGGATGACCTGCGGCGGTGGGCGCGCAGGCAAATAAGAGCTTTTTCCCACTAGGAACCCAACTCTTCGATTCTAGCGGCGTTTCCGGAAGCGTTCTCACCGGACCTAGGCGGAGACGGACTTCCGGCTCCGACTTCCCCGTCTTCCGAGTTCCGAGCTCCGCCGCTTCCGCCCGAAGTTGCCCTAGGCTCCGGCTGCGAGCAGCTTCTTCCGCCAGGAGTCCCTAGCAGCTCGGACTCGGAAACTGGCCCTAAGGCGGCCTGCTCCTTCTCCCCCCAGCCTGCCCACCGAGGCCGGGGCCCCAGGAGGCGGCGGCGGCTGCCGGGCCTGTCGCGGGGCGTTCTCTCTGGCCGAGCCCTGGGCCTAGGGGGAGCGGGGCGTGCGGAGAAACGCCCCGGCCTGGCCCAGCCCCAGCCCGGCTTCCCGCGGCCAGTGACCGTGGCCGCAGGCCTCGCCGCGCCCACTCCAGCCTGGGGCGGGGCCCGGCCTCCCCGCCCCTCGGGCCTGCCCAGCGCCGGGTCACTCTCCTCCTCAGCCCTGCGGCGCTGTAGCCGCCTCGCTCCTCCGGGACCCGGCCGTCCCGTGGCTTCGGCTGCTGGGAAACATGGAGTTTGCGGAGCTGATTAGGACCCCGCGGGTGGACAATGTGGTGCTGCACCGGCCTTTCTACCCGGCCGTCGAGGGGACCTTGTGTCTGACTGGCCACCACCTGATCCTGTCCTCCCGGCAGGACAACACGGAGGAGCTGTGGCTCCTCCATTCAAACATCGACGCCATCGACAAGCGGTGAGTGCCCGTCCCACCGGCTCTTGGGCGGGGAACCTGGGGTCCTTAGGTGGTCGTCTGAGGAAACGCGCCCCAGTGCCCCTGCAGCCCGCAAAATGAGCCCTCGGCGGCCTGGATTGCGGATTTGAGGTTTAGAAAGCAGGAAACCATCCAAATGAGATCCCTGGTTTCCATTAGATCTCGGTGGAATTCCCAGGCTTATCACATGTTTATTGTCATCCTGATTATCGTTTTTGGTGCATACACCATTTGGGTGGATTTTTAATCTTTTCTTTTAAAATTTCTTCTCCTTGCACCATCACATTCCTTGACTATTATTAATCGTGTATCACAGTTGATGAAGTTGTGATTGAATGTGATTTAAAGTCTTTACTTGCCACTTTTGAGGAAAACTCAAAGAACTGAGGATGTAGTGTCTAAATTCCACAAAACCGCCCCCCCCCCAAATTGTTCAGTTTATCATATTTCTCCTTATTTCTTACTTTCTGGATCATCACTTTAATAGTTTTCGTTATTGGAGATTGTAATGTCTTTTATGTATTTATCTTTACTCAGTTCTGCTTTTGGAAAGAACAGAGTTGGGTGTCTTATGCAAAGGTATTAATTCTTTTTTTTCCTGCACCCCAGCTCTGTCTTTCCAAGGTAGTGTCTCAGTCAAAAAGTTATACTTCCGTCTGCCGTCAAAATTGCCGTTCTCCCAATGGCTCTGGGTGCTTAGTCTAGCCAGAAGGTAAATAGATTATCCGATTTATACTAAAGTATACATGAATGACGACAGCTTTTGTATTATCTCAGGAGAATTTGAAATTTAGAAGATTCCTAGAGAGATTATGCCTTAAAAGAAAGTAATTTCTAATGGTAGAATTGAAGTAAGGGTGAAGTGGTGAGAGTTTTTTTGTTTTTCAAGCAGCGGGCTCCTGCTACGGTCTTCTTCAGATCTCCTTCTCCTTTGTGAAAGTTGTCAGTGGGCTCTCCCTGCCTGCATAATAAAGTCTTAAACCCCTTAGTGTGTCATTCATGGTGTGCCATGTTTTGGCCCTAATCTACTTTTCCCACCTTAGTTCTTGCCATTCATTTTCATGAACCCTTTTCACTAGCCAGCCCTCACTCTTTATTTTGGCTCATCCATATCGTGCATTCTCTCGTGTCTGTGTTTTACTGACGTTCTTCCTTCTGCCTGGAATGCCTTGCTCCTCCCAACTTTGTTAAACATTTATTGAATATCGTTATGGTCCAGACATTTTGTGAGGCATCAAGGACAGCAAAATGAATAAAATATAGTTCTTGTCTTTCAGGAGTGTATAGGTTATTATCCAGCTGTTGCTCGTCTATCAATATTCAGTTTAACCACTTCAGCTGCCACCTCTATGACACATTCTTCTATTAATCCCACAACTAGAAGTAATTTCCCTCACATTGAAACCCTCCAGCTCTTTAATTACACCTCTTTCATAGGTGTATATTAAAATTTGTATTTTGATGGTTGCATATGTGTTAGCTCCTTGAAGCCAGGACTCGCATTTGGTTAATTTTTATCTCCTTCAAAACTCCTAACTGTGGCTTGGGTGGATAGGCACATCGGAAATAAACGAAGAATTGACCGCTGAATGGTCATTGGGGCCATAGAATACAAATTAGGTTTCCGCCTGCCATCAACTCTCTGTTCTTTCTTATTTACCTCTTTTTATGGTTGCTTTTCACTCTTTCATTTCATCATATTTCCCTAGCATTCACTACATGCTGGGCCTGGTAGGGCTTAAAGGAGTATATAAGGCATGGACCTTTTAATCTGTTGGGGGAAAGTAACAAACTCTAGGCATGTTTACCTTTTTCCTGGGAAGCAGCATGGTGTAATGGAAAGAGCATAAGCTAGGTGGTCAGATCAGAGTTTAATTGTTGCTTTCAAGAGATATTTGCTTCTGTGTGTCTTCTACGTGCTGAGCACTGTCTTGGCTCTGCAAATGCAATGGTGACTAAGACAGACTAGGAGCTTATGTACTAGTGGAGGAGATGAACATTCAGATAAATCAACAAATATGTAACAATGTCAGATAATAAGTGTCAGGAAGGATAATAGAGGAAGATGGGAGGCTAGAGAATGTCAGGAGGCAGTGTATTTACAAAGAATTTCAGAGAAGACAAGTGACATTTGAATGAATGACATCCAGATGAAGGGAGGAAGCTAGCAACGTGAATATTGGAGAAAAGAGCCAGAGGAAACAGTGAATGCAAAGACCTGAGACAGGAACATGCCTGTCATGTACAAAGAAGAACAGAGATGCCAGTGGGCGAGGGGTAGGGGCTAGGGGGATGGCAGAAACTGGTTGGAGGTGTAAGCAGGGGCCAGATCGTGTAGGGCCTTATATGCCATTGTGATGGTTTTCATGGGAAGCCCTTGGAGAGTTGAAACCAAGGAAGTAGTGTCTGATAGACTTTTTAGAAGGTGATTCTGGCCGCTGGCAGAAGATGGATTGTAGAGGGGCAAGAGTGGAAGGAGCAGAGGCGGGGTTGGGAGGCTGTTGAGTAGTTCAGGTACAGGTGATGGTGACTAGAGTGGAAGCAGTAGTAGTGTGGTGAGAGGCAGTCAGATGTGGGACCTATTTTGAAGGTTGAGCTGCTCCGCCTTGCTGGTGAGTTGTCGATGGGGTGTGAGAGGAAGAGCAGTGTTAAGGATGACTCCTTCAGTTCTGCCTCTTATTAGATAAATGCCCTTGGGCAAGCTACTTCACCGTAAGAGGAAGACCACCCGTCTCATGTCTAGTTGTAACTTATATTTGAGTAATGCTTTACTAGCTTATACAATACACTGCATACATAATTTGATCCTTTCAGCAGACAAGGTTGTACACAAGTTTTATAGTTATACTTTTTTTTTTTCTTTTTATGGACTCCAGAGGTAGAAAGTTGAGTTAATCCTATTCAGTGGATGACTCATCATTTTCATGATTGATTCCTTACAAGGTTTTCTTGGTTTTTTATTTTATTCTTTTTCAGCCCTAATTTTCACTCCCATTTTCCACCTCATCCTCAATTCCTTCAGGCCGCTGTGTTAAATGTTGCTATTTGTCCTTGGATATATCCCTGTAAAGTATATGTCACTGTTGTGTATAGGTGTGTGCACACAGGCATGTGTGAGTTTAATTTACCTGAGTAGGATTATGTTGTAGATCTTGTTCTGTTTCTCAACATTTTAACTCAGTACTCTTTTTCAAGATCTCTTCATATTGCTGAATGTACATCCGTTTCACTGCTTTTCACTGCAGGGTAGAATTCCAAAGTGTCTGCAACATTTTACTTATCTGACCCTTTAGATACCTCCAGCTCCCTGCTGTTACAAACATCTCTGATAAATGAACTCATTCGGGTCCCATTATAATCTTGTCTAAATGCTTCTCTGAGATTGTGCTTAGGATGGGATTGAGCTAGAAAGCATATTTTTCCATCATTCTTACCAATATTTGGTATTATTGTCTTTCTAATTTTTGCCAGTCTGATGATTGTGAAATAGTATCTCTTTGTTTTATTGTTTCATTTTGTATTTCTCTAATTACTGTTGAGTTTAAATATCTCTTTATATACTTCTTAGCAATTCAGTTTAAAATTTTTTTCCTTTCTGTCAATTGCCTGTGAATTTCCTTGGCCCACTTTTTAAATTTGGGTGGTTGTCTTTCTTGTGTGGATTTGCACCAGTTCCCTGTATACTCTCTAGGGATCAATTCTTCACTTAGACATTGCAAATATCTTCTGCTAGTCTCTCACCCATTTGTTAACTTTTCTGTGGTGCTCTTTGTTAAACAGAAGTCCTTAATTTTAATGCAAGATTCGTCTTTTACTTTATGGTTTGTGCTTTTTAAGTCTTGGTTAAGAAGTCCTTCCTTATCCCAAGATCACTAGGCTGTTCTCCTACAGTTTCTTCCATCTTAGCTTTATAGTTTTACCCCTTATTTTTAGGTCTTTGTTCAAGTGTGATAGGAATCAAATTTTGCTTTTGTCTGTGTAGCAAGCCAGTTTTCCTCATACTATCATCTAACAAGCCATCCTTGACTGATTTGTCATCTATCAAGTGGTTTTATGTATATGTATATATAATATACACAGCTTTTGCTGTATCCCATAGGTTTTGTTGTGGTACGTTCTCATTTTCATTTGTCTCTAAGTATTTTCTAATTTCCTGTGTGATTTCTTCTTTGATCCTTTGGTGGTTTAAAAGTGTGTTGTTTTTCACAATTTTGTGCATTTTCCAGTTTTTCTTTTGTTACTTATTTCTAACTTTATCCCATTGTGGTCAGAGAAGATACTTTGTATGATATGTATCTTTGTAAATCTTTTGAGATTTGATTTGTGGCCTAACATATGGTCTATCCCGGAAAATGTCTTATGTGCACTTGAGAAGAATGTGTCTTCTGTTGTTGGATAGCGTGTATATGTCTGTTAGATCTAGTTGGTTCATTGTGTTATGTCTTCTGTTTCCTTACTTCTGTCTGGTTGTTCTATCCATTATTGTGAGCGAGGTATTAAAGTCACCAACTATTATTGTGGAACTGTCTATTTCTCCCTTCAATTCTGTCAGTTTTTGCTTCATATATTTTGATTGTCTGTCATTAGGTGTGTAAATGTTTATAATTGTTATATCTTCTTGCTGTGTTAAACCTTTTATTAATAGATACGGTCCTTCTTTGTCTCTTGTAACCATTTTTGATTTGCAGTCTATTTTGTCTGATATTAGTTTAGCTGTTCCTGCTGTGTTTTTGTTACTACTTGCCTGGAATATCTTTTTTATCCTTTTCATTTTCAACCTGTTTGTGTCTTTGGATCTGAAGTGAGTCTCTTGTTAGACAGCATATAGTTGGATAATGTGTTTTTATCCATCCTGCCAGTCTCTGTCTTTTGATTGGAGAATTTAATCCATTTACATTTAAAGCAGTTATTGCTAAGGAGGGATTTACTTCTGTCATTGTGCTGTTTGTTTTCTGTATGCTTTTTTTTCCTTAAAGCTTTTT